GCGCCCCGGCTCGCCTCACGGCTTCCCTCGTGGCCCTCTCTCCGTGTGCCTGTCCCTTAGCCATAGCACAGGACCCAGATCGAGAGCAGACGCTGGGATTCACCAGTCATTAGCAAAATTAGTAATTTTCAATGAATTATTCTCAGTCCTACTGTCATCTTCCGCGATTTAAAAATGGTAATACTTTGTTTTTGAGAGGTTTTGCTATAGGGCGTATACGCTTGCCAGAAAGACAGAGAGAGACAGAAAGTGAGAAATCACCCCTCGGGGGAGATGGCCAGGCCATAATCTCTTCTCCTCCATTCTCCCCTCAGGATCTTAGGCACGCATGCACACGCGCTCAGCATGCGTTTAAGACACTGGGTCCAGGACTCGAACCATGGTCGAATACATGGGAGTCCAGTGACATAGTCATTGTGCCAACTGCTGGGCCCAATATTGCTTTTTTAAAAATTAATTATTTACTTATTATTCTTCAATTTGACCAGAGAGAGAGAGAGAGAGAGAGAAAACCACCTGAGGAAAAGAGAAAGAGAGAGAATGCCGCCAGGCCCAGGGCTTGAACCACAGTCAGCCGTGTGGGAGTCCAGCACCTTAACTGCAGCCCACTTGCTGGCCCTAGTAGTATTTCTTTTTTTTTTTTTTTTGAGAGGTTTTTGCTATAAGGCGCGTGCACGCACCAGAAAGAGAGAGATGAAGAGACAGAACATGAGAAATCACCCCCCAGTGGGGATGACCATGCTGCAATCCCTTCTCCATTCTCCTCTCGGGATCTTGGGCATGCATACACATGCAGTCTCTGGGACTTGAACCATGGTCAACTACATGGGAGTCCAGTGACATAGCCATTAAGCCATCTGCTGGTCCCAGTAGTATTGCTTTTAACCGCATCCGCAAAGTAATTCAAGTGACAGATATTTTGGCCCTAAGGACATCTGAAGGGACTCTTAAATTTAGGGCCTAACCAAGGCCTTGGAGAGGAGTAAGGTAAGGTTGGAGCTGCAGTGAGTTCACAGCGGTGGGTTCTGGTGCGTGACGCCCTTCCTGACCAGGTTGGAAACCCCTGCTGGGCCCGCGCTCCTCCTGGCCCTGCTCCTCCTCTGACTGCCCGCCCAGGCAGCCCGGCCCACGCTGCGCTGGGGCGCTCAGCCCGTGAGCTCGAGCTCACCTGTGAGCGGCCTCTGCGGTGTCCCGGCCCTCGTAAGCGGCCCTGCTACAGCAGGTCGTTCTGCCTTCTCCCCCTCGGCCTTTTTTAGGGTATGCTGGTGCCTCTTCAGGCCACCTCCCCGACAGAGCCTCAGCCTTTGGGGTGCGGGGACCTGACTCGTGGGCTCAGTGGAGGGGAGAGTCGCACCGGTGGAGAGCGG